ATACAGCTATATGCATGTATTACACGTATGTGTACCTTTGATATTGTTTCTAATTTAACAGAATACGCGAAAAAACAGGCGATCGTCAGCGAACAAAGCGAGAGTACTTACTTACACGTGAAAAGTGATCCCAGGCGTCTTCTTTATGCAATATCTGTGCAGCCGTAAGCGACGCACGAAATCACCATGGCTTTGAAAATCTTTAACTGCTTTACAAAAGCATTTCACAGTCTCCAAAGGCTACTGCGAGGGTGGAGCTACGAAGCGCACTTTGTCGTCTGCTTCCGAGTCTTTCCTCTTCTAATACGGCGGCGGCCGGCTTCAATTATCGGGGCACACCTCCACTCCAGAAGACATAGTATAGAACCTCCTTGATCATGATTCATTCTAGTACACTGTAGTCATGAAGTTAAACCTCCTGTGAGTGAAACCAGTGAAAAATGTCCAGCGGCCATCTTGCAAGAGGCAAAGCTGGCAGGTGAGCGTCCGACCTTACCAAAACCACACAAAACTGTATCCTCCTTATTTTTTCAGTGAACTTCACTTACGATAAAGAAATGTCCCAGGAGGGGCAAATCAAAAATTTTGTGGGGGCTCAAGCCTCCCCATTGGCACCCCTGCAACCGCGGAACCGCGCCACCATGTGTTTTCTGCCCTGTTAAATAGTGAAATAGGGCGGCGCTGGCTTTACAACGGAAGAAAAGTTAAAATCGTTCGTCCACGGGCTTCACAAACAGCACCATGCATAAGGGGACGGACCGTGATGACCATTCATGCAGGTGGCAAAAAGAAAACAAAAAAAAAATGGCCCGGATCTACATGTTACAGTGTAACATGTAGTTTTGAGTCTAGAGAGAGTGAACAAAACGTTTATTTGATGTTCTGCGTAAGAAAATCGGTGAATGGTATTCTGCAGGCGCTGCGTTAGAGTGCCTCGAGGATGTGGCGGAGGCGAACGAGCGCATCTAGGCATGTTAGACACAAGTGCCATCTGTGTCTAACACAAAAACGGTGGCTTCACTTTTGCAGTTACGAGAGCTTCCGCTCTACTTGGAACAGACCATGGCCGCCTTCTCCACTTAAGAGATATTGCCCTGGGTGCCACCAAGTCTGTGGCTCATGTACTTTTGCTAAATATTTCATTATCACCTTATTTACATGACCGCCTTATTTGTAATTTATTATAGCCTTATTTATCATGTAAAAAAAAAACACACGTTGCGCTTCGCGGGGGGCGTGTTTCTATGTTTCTTACGTGGTGTCTTATTCGCACAGTTGTGACCTTTTTCTGAAGCTTGTGACGACGGCGAGGTTCATAAAAACAGTTTGCGGCTGTATGCAGCGGCAAAACGTGAACATTGTGCAACGCTGTTCTTATTTCGCATTTCTGTGCGAGCCTCTACTATAGTGTACTCGAATATGGTACTAGTACAATATAGATTGTAGTACACTATGTAGTACACTATATAGTACGCTATACATACAGTACAGTGTACCTCATATTCTAGTACACTATACCTCTACCTTGCTTTGGAATAAAAACAATGCGGGTACAATGTCTCCTGTCTCTTTCATTAATACAAAGATTGACCACTTGCTCCAAAAGAAAAACAAGCAGGATGAATAAAGTCGTATTGAATTGTAATTACCTGCATCTCTTTCTTTTATAACTTAGTTGAAATAAAGATTACGCCATGACCTCAATTCGCACGAACAATTTTGAGCTAGAAAAAATATGGCATCGCTGAATCAAAACTACGAACAATAGTTTTGCCATTTGGGCGGAGAAAAATGGCCTGAAATCATTAACTTTCGCCCCAGCCAAACGTCGGTTGCGCACAGTAAATAAAAATTTGCGCCAGTGAAATCGAAACGGGAAGCGCAGGCCAGTTGCTCTCACCAACCCCCAGGTGCGCTAGTTCCGTTATATAGGTGTGGTTATCAGTGATGCCAACCCTAGAGATTTATCCTTAGATGTAAAGATTTTTTGTCTCTTTTAAAGATTTGGCGTCTTTTTTGTGAAATCTAGGGATTTTTTGGAGTGTTAAAATGAAACGTTATGCAGCTTAATGACTGGTGTTGCTGAGTAACCACGCGTTTTTAATAATAAGTAACTGCAAAGAATGTGATTTTTTGCTAATTTCTATTTTTCATTTTTAAATTTCCTTCGCTATTTCTATTTTTTTTTGTTTAAAAAAGCATTGGTGTTGTGCAAGCCGAGAGAGGGCGACTTTGGTTCTGTAACGCGAGCACGGAGGCCTTCCTCCGTGAACGCGAGCATTGAGAAAGTAATTTCTTTTTCTATGACGCGAGGTTCTCGCAGTAACAACCTCTGATGTGTGCTGTCGAAGGAACTTGTCCGAACTTGTCGTCGCGAGTGACAACTTTTCTTCGCAAGTGAAGTGCAACTGTGGAAACTCTGAGGTGTGCTGTACACTCGAAGGAGCTTTTCCGAACTTGTCTTCACGAGTGACTACTTGGCTTCGCGAGTGAAAGTGCAATTGTGACTTACAGTGCACGGAAAAACGCGCGAAATTCACCTCCGCCGCGCACCTTCACTGTGCAAAGTGAAGGCGCGCTCCATGTGAAATGGCAACTTCTGGACGAAGAGACTTTGAGCAAGGTGAGCCGAGTAGAAAGAAAGCGAAAGCATACGATCAAAAATATTTGACGAGATGGGAAGCTGAACCAAAGTACAAGGGATGGCTAGCAGCGAGTAAAAAAGGGCCCCTGTACTTCTACTGCAAGTCATGCAACGCTGATTGCAAAGGTGGAAAATCGGAAATCGACCGCCGCCTCGCAAGCTCCAAGCACAGGAACAGTGCTGCAAGCTTGCAATCGACCCGCACGCTGACATCTATGCCTGCAGTAAGTGGGCAAACTCAGCTCGACAAATCTGTCAAAGAGGCGGAAATAAGGCTTGCAGCGTTCATCACAGAGCATAACCTGCCATTTAATATCATGGGGCATTTAGTTGACGTTGTCAAAGCAGCAAGCGATGATTCCCAAATTGCAAAGAACGTGAGCTGTGGCCGGACGAAGTGCACTGCCATCGTAAAAAATGTTCTTGGAGAGCAGAGTCGCCAAGACATCTGTGAACTCTTGCGCAGACAGAAGTTCTCTCTGCATGTCGACGAATCTACTGACAAGGGAACAGTGATGCATCTGTCCCTTGTCGCCCGAGTGATGAATGCCAACGGCGACTTAGTGAATGCGTTTCTTGACTTGGTACCAGTCAGCGATGGAACCGCCCAGTCTCTCTTCAGCAGTCTGAAGGCAGTCTTTACTAGCACAGAAATTCCATACGAAAGAAACTTGATCGGTTTCGCGGCGGACGGAGCAAACGTGATGATGGGTGCTCATCATTCCGTCGCATCGATGCTGCAAGCACAAATTCCAGGAATTTTCATTCTGAAATGCATTTGCCATTCCTTCCATCTCTGTGCCTCCTACGCGTGCAAAACACTACCGAGAGGAGTGGAGGATCTGGCCCGCGATGTGTACAACTACTTTTTGTCTCCCAAGCAGACGTCTGCATACCAGGAGGTCCAAAGGCTCGCAGAGGTGAAGCCACATAAGCTACTGCACCCGAGCCAAACCAGGTGGCTGTCCCTCCAAGTTGTTGTTACCCGCCTACTTGAGCAGATGCCGGCCTTGATTTCATTTTTCAAAAAAGCAGCCACTGAGGACCGCGTGCTTGCCGCAGAAGCCATTCTCGAGAAGCTTAGCAACCCGTCGACTAAGCTTTACCTCGAGTTTCTTGAGTACGTGCTGCCTTTTTTTACAAACCTAAACAAAGAAATGCAGTCCGAGGAAACCAGAATCCACTTGCTGCACGAAAAGGTTTCGGGCACGCTAAAATGCATACTCGAATGCTACATCAAGCGGGACTACTTGGAGGCCACGCCGTTGTCCGATGTGCAGTACAAAGACCCCGCCAAGTTCCTGCCACTAGAGGAAATATATCTCGGAGCAAAGCCAACTGCAGCGCTATCCGGTGGCACACACGGCCTAAACGATGACCAGATTCACAACTTTAGGCTGCGGTGCTTAGAGTTTTTCATCGAAGCCGCTCGTCAGATATACTTGCGGTTCCCCCTGAAAAGTCACCAGTTGAAGAACCTTCGAGTCCTGGACCCGAAAGTTGTCATGGGAAAGACGATTCCATCAATCGCGCCCCTTGCGGTCTCATTTCCCCTGATCGTGAGGGAAAATGAAGTGAATGAACTGGACAGGGAGTGGCGTCTCCTCCGCAACATGGACCTGAGTGAGCACGCTGGCTTGACTGCGAGCCAGTTTTGGCACGCCGTATCCCAGATGCGAAGAGGCGATGGATCACAAGAGTTTCCCCTGTTGTCAGCGTTTATGAAAAACATTTTGTGCCTACCACACTCCAGCGCTGCGGTCGAACGTGTGTTTTCGCAAGTAAATCTGCTGAAAACAAAGCAAAGAAACAGGTTGTCAACAGACGCGTTGTGCGGCTTGCTGCACGCAAAAAGAACCTTGACGGACAGCTCCTGCTACACCTTTCAGATCACTCCATCGCATTTGAAGCGGATGAAGAAAGAAATGTATGGTGATTAAGACTTCAAAGGGTTACGTGTCACGATGTCCAGCATTTTCGTCGTCCTGCAAGCCTCGGCCGGCTGCCTCAGTAATTTGCGCATACAGAGAAGAGACTGTTGCAAGAGCATTTCAAGAGGCGTTGCTGTGAAACCAGAGTCGTCTGCTCGAAGAAGCGAATTCACATCGCTCCACAGAAAATATTGAAAAAAAAGAGCTGCAGTTGCTGCTAGTAAGCTATATCTTAACTCTAATGAGATTCAGAGCAAACGAGGCGAAGAGCAAGCTGCGTTTAGACTAATAAAGGTGAATACCAACGTGCGAAAAGAAAAAAAAATGCAATCTGGGGATTTTGTCTGCTATCTAGGGATTTTTGAGGGGTCATTCTAGAGATAAAGCGTTGCCTCAGGTTGGCATCACTGGTGGTTATATCAGAGAATGCCACAAAACTGGTAGGTGCTCTGTGATGCCACGTTATATTCTACTTCAATGCTAGTTCTGTGGTAGTGGTGGTAGAGTGGATACCGAAGGTGTTCTCTGGCCGAGGTAACCTGTTTTTGCTTTGTTTTTCTTGTGATGATAAACGCACGCACAGTCTGTCCTGGGAGGCATCGGAGCTGAACTGAGTACCTCAACTGAATATATTGTGGTCCTTGTCGCAGCGGCTATTATGAGAATGCACCTAGTGGCGTTTATTCCGCGATGCTGCTGTCAAATATGTTCATGCGACAGGTCAGTTCGGTGCATCTTAACTAGTAGATGCTTGCGAAGACGCGGTAACAAAACGAATATAGAACTGAACTTAGCGGACTCGGATATTTCTTCTTTGCAACCCCCGCCCCCTCCTGTTTTTGCGCAGGTCTGCTACTGAGTCTGCCTCGAACTGAGCTTGGTAGGTGGGGTCACATGTTACGATATGCGGCAACGGTGCAACAGGTGTTTTCGAGTTGGCGCTCAACAAAGGAAGTTGTGCGCTTGCCTACCCAATCGTAGTTAGGCTTTGAAGTGATTGCTTGATGCACACAAGGGGAGTCATGCTAATCTTAGACAATGTAGTATTCTTGTCGGAGGTGTGCGTACGCTTACACAGCTGAATGCGAAACATTGGGTACGGAATGTTTCATTTTCTGTCTTAACATCCACCTGACTCGGCTTTTTGTTTAGCACGTTATAAAGGCCAAGTGCTTATCTTTATACTTTGTTAATTTAGGTCTGAAATAATACTTTTTTTCTCTCTCTCTTTACAGAAGTTTGCAAAGAAACATGACACTCTTACATTTTGCAAGGCTGCAGGGAAACTTTGGGAATAACTTCAGAAGTCTGCGAAAATTGAAACTTGGACTTCTTTCCTCCATAAGATGTTCATCAACCACTTTCCCTCATGCATTCTCCCCAGTGTTTGGAGGCATTGAAGAGCATTTAAACAAGCTTGCTGTGGTTGATGGACTTGGTTCGCACACGTATGGTGATCTACTTAGCTTTAGCCAGCAAATCCAAAAAGATATATCCAAACTTGCAAGCTCATGCGATCAAATGCGAATTTCATATTTGTGCCCTAGTGATGTTCGATATGTTGCCACACAGTGGGCTTGCTGGCTTGGTGGTAATGTAGCTGTGCCTCTATACCATCAACATCCAGATGCCATGCTGGAATACTACATTAAAGATTCACAGACATCAATTTTGCTCACAACCAAAGAATATAAGGAACGCATCGTGAAGCTTTCTGACAAACTTTCTCTCCCTTATGTTGTAATTGATGGACCAAGCAAAGAAAAGGCTGAAGGTATTGAAAGCAAAGATTGGGTAAGTTTCATAACTCAAATGTGTAAGTCGATAGGGTATTGCCAGTTTCAGAGCCTGCACTCCTGCCAAGCTTCTGCAGTATTGCATTGAGCCTGAATCTTGATGCTTTGAAGTATCATTTTAAAATGATGCCAAAAATGCTGCTAGTGCATTTTAAGAAATTGTTGGTGCATATCAAGTTGGTGCCGGGGTTTGCTAGTAATGTATAGTTACTATGAGTAAAACTGCCATTTAAGAAAAATCACGTGCTGCTAAGTAGAAATATTTCAAACTTGTATCCTAATTTCAGCCTTGCATAGAAATCTAGGCATTTACCATGAAATTGACAAGAACTGAGCAAAAAAAATACTAAAGTTCTGATGAGTATTCAGCCCTACCCAGAAAAATTTATATAGGCAGTTAAAAAGTGGAAGAGTTAACTAATGCAGCTATGTACAACAATGCTAGGCGTCACCTGTATTATCGTAAAGTTAACAATGCTACTGCATTGCATAGTTCACTTGGCAGGGCTTCAAGAAAAGTTGACTGGGGGATAAAATGGTGCTTGGGTCAAGGTTCTATTTAGCCAAGACAAATATTGGGAAAAAGATTCATAATAAAAAGTTTTAAACTAAGAGCAACGGTGGCCCTTCTATCTCCTACCACTGAAATTGAAGCCAGTGAAATGCTTGGTTTTGTCTCTGTGCCTGCATATACGAAAAATATCCTTGACAAGGTCATAAAGGACTGCCAGATGCCAACTAAAAATACCGTTAAACTAATCGGAATATTATACGAGAGTGTTGATGCCATTACTTATGGGAGCTTGCAAACGCGAACAGTTGCAGCAGATGCCTTCTCGCAACTTTTGAAAATAAAATAAATGTGAAGACCGAGGTTCATGCCTTTATACGTTTCACAGAAAATGGGCCAGATTTCTCACATATTTCTTGTGCAGCTGGAAACAAGTCAAGTAAGCTATGGTTCAGGGACTAAAAAAACAGTACAATAGTTTTTAGTGTTTAAAGAGGTTCCACGCACAACGGTCTGTAAAAAACTAACGGCAGCACAGTTCTTTTGTGAATCTTGGTTATACTCGTGGAATACCTTTATAAAGGTTCAACTAGTAATACAGTATTACTTTGCTTTATTCAAAGCAGGTAAAACATAAATAACAAGTGCGGAAAGTTTCTGCCAGTGAAACAATGAGAAAACCGACCTCTGGCTTACAAGTGATGGCCCATCCATTCTTATACTGATAGGGCCTCTTTTAATGGACCTTTTCTAACCTCAAATGCTAAAAAACGGTGATTTGGGAGAGTGCAAGACAGACAATACTGTAATTGAGTGCTTACACCAGCAAACAGCCTTTGCAGGAGCTTGAGAAGCTGAAGGCTAGGTGTTGCAAGCACTTCAGCTTTCTTAGGGTTGCAGGAGCTTGAGAAGCTGAAGGCTAGGTGTTGCAAGCACGTCGACTTTCTGAGGGAGTATATAGGATAGCATGCATGTTTCAGCTTCCTAGCTCAATTTTTTTCTGTGCAAGGCATTTTAACACCCCCTTGTTCAGCTTGTGACATTTCTATATTCTAATGTGCATATAAAAGATTACTGACAGGTTAATGGATTCTATAGTGGTGGTCTCCTTATTACAGGCCTGCCCTAATGGCATTGTCATCATTTTGCAGGCTAGTGTTGTAACTTGTGCAGAGTATAAATATGTATGCGTATATATGTTGTATAAGGGAGGAACATGCATTTGAGAAAAAGCTTTAGTGGTTGAGCTAAGTCGTAGAGCTGCAGTGTACACTTGTGTACTTCCTACATGGCTTTAAAGTTGGCAAGTCGCTGAAGCAACATTTATTTTGTTGCAACATCTGTACTTATCTGGGATTAGGTTTTGTCATGGAGAACTTATTAGCAGGTGTTATGGAGAAAACACAAAATGAGTAATCACTTGAGCTAGCTTTATTGTCATTGATTCCTTCTTTTTTTCTGCTTGCCCTACTGAGCATTAAATAAGATCCAGCCGTTTTATCTAAAATCGCAAGTTACAGTGAGAGAGTAAAAATACAGCTCAACAACTTTCATGAATAAAGAATGATCATACTTCTGTTTTCACTCAAAAAACCTTCAGTATGTACCCAATTTCTGAAGTGGCTTGTGCTTTCACGATGGTGCGTGCATGAAAAGAATATGTCCTTGTAAGTCTGGCACTAGAGCACAGAGAAGATCAATAATTTCTAGTAGTAAAATGTAACTAGTGTGAAGTGTGAGAAATGCAATTTAATTAGTGTGAGAAATGCGATTTTTTACTATGCATGTGTTGTAAGAGATAAGAAATGGTAGAGAAGGAAATGCAAGGAGGTTAACCAGTTCAGAATAACCGAAATGCTACCCTACATGTGGGAACAGGATAGGGGCGTTTGAAAAAAAAAAAAAAGGGAGAGAAAAGAGAAATAAAGCACATAACACAGCACATGCACCAACATGCAGTCAGTCACAGTTTATCACTCTGGCGTGGTACGTGACGTCAATGTCACTGCCGCTCGTCCAAGTCTGTTAGGTGTTGTAAAGTAAATATGAAAACAAGGAGATATGCTATAGGAGATAATGAGTGAGGGGTAATATAATAATTATGGTAATATGTGATGTTTAACATTTCTAAACTGTAATATCGTGAGAGACACCGTAGTGGAGTGCTCCGAAAATTTAAGTTATCTCTGGTGGTCTTTGATTTGCACCGTTATCCCACAGTACATGGAGAGCCTCTACCATTTTGCCTCTATCGAAGTGAGACTGCCATGGCTGGGATTGAACCCACGACCTTTGGGTTAGCAGCCAAGCACCTTTGTCACTTTCCCACCGAGGCAGACTAATGAGTGAGGGGTCATTTGCATTACTGGGGTGCTGTGAATCTGTTTGGAAGTTATGTTGTCCATTCAATAACTTATGTACTGCATGTTTTAAACGTACGAGTCTTTTATTTCAGGAAAATTTGAAAGAACAAGATGCTCTGATGATGTATACCAGTGGGACAACAGGGCCTCCAAAAGGAGTTGTTCTTTCATTTAGAAATGTACACTTTCAAGTGGCACAGATCAGGAAGGCCTGGGAATGGACCCCTGAAGATGTGATGCTACATGCCCTGCCACTTCATCATACGCATGGAATTATAAGTGGATTGCTCACCCCATTGTACTCTCGTGCTGCTTGTATGATGCTGCCCAAGTTTAACCCTGCAGAGGTGTGTGGTGTGGTCTTTGGCTTAATTAAATCCCTCAGTGGTACTCCCAATTTTTCTTTGATGTTTGGCCTTCAGAGCATGTAAAGAGCAGCCATAAGATTGGATAAATAAGCCTTCCTTAGATATGGTGATTTGTCAGCAGTAGAAAGTGCAGGTGCACTTACAAGACCTAAAGCTAAATACTACATTTCCACTGTTGACTGTGAATCGACCATGTATAGTGTAGCTTCAATAAACTTTTCACAGCGTAAGCTGTTATGAGATCAAAACTCGGGTCACACATGGCGCCGTAGTTGTCCGCTGCCAGTGTCCATAACTATTGCGAAATAAGAAAAAACACCTAGTACCAAGGACACACTGGGGCTCGAACCCTGGCCCGAGCCCAGTATTCCACCACTGAGCCACGCCGGTGCTTGGAGCTTGTTCACAAATTCGCTTTAGACAGTTCCGATGTTGGAAAAGAAATCGCGTTAATATGTGTAATAAAGCATTTTAAAACAGCATTAGAACAATGAGGCGTCACACAATGAAAATAGCGTAATGAGTGGGTTGTCCAATGCTCCAACCCACTAAAAAAGATTGTTTTCGGTCACCTATTAACTGTGGCACATACCCCCTTCAGGCAAGCCACAGTCGTAAAATCTCAAAGATTTTGTGCTAAGTAATGCCTTATTTAGCTTTTCATGCTGTTAATTTGCTTTTGGCCTTTGCTGTGTGGGATCTCTAGTAAACTTGTAATTTTGGTTTTGTGGCACCAGCTCAGATAGATATATTTATTTTTTATTGTTTTGCTTGTGGCATTACAATATATTTAACAGAAATTTTGACTCTCCCAATGTTTGCACCGTGCAGTTTTGATACTTGTTATTTATGTTGTAAACAATCGTGTTTACAACAATCGTATGTTGTAAACAACCGTGCAGTTTTGATACTTGTTATTTATGTTGTAAACAATTAGCATGTTTATAAACAAACATGCTAATTCCACCAAGCCTCTATGGCCAAGAAAGAAAATGCCTAATCTAGCCGGAGGAATACAGCGAAAACGAAACGAACTCAAGAAGTGACATTGACGAACACCAATAAATACTGATTTTTGTTTGAAGGAAATAGGAATATATATAGGGTCACATTTCGACAGCACTAATCACACCGTGTTCTTAAAAGTGATAAAAGTTGTAAGTGATGACACATCTTAAACAAAAATAGGAATGTGGTCAATGACATGATGTATAAGGCCAAAATAAAATGAACATGGAACAGAAGTATCCTAAACACTAAAGTAACAAATCTGCAAACTGATAACACAGTAGCACCATTAAAAAGAACCTGTTTTTGCATTTCTTGGTCATGCACAGTTACTATTCCACCTGATGAGAAGAGTGATTTTTTGTCAATTAAGTGCTTCTAAAAAGGACGCTTTTCTCTTCTGTACAACATTTTATATAGTTCGCTGATGCAGTCTATGCCCCCCCCCCCCCCCCTATTTTATGCGACGTCTCTACTCCTATCTAGAACCAAGATTTCTTGACTGAGGAACGCATCTACAGGCTTTGTTATGGATTGCCAAGGGCTTTACAGTGGAATGTTTGTCTTGTTCGCCCAATATTCTTTTCATTAAACATGCACCAACTAGCCCAACGAAAAATTCTACTTAAAGAAGACTCTTCAGTTAACACTCTGACGCCTGGTCTTAACTGTGCTGATGATTTAGGAGATTAGCCTCAACACCCTCATTGATTAAAGGGTGGCCATATTTCTATGGTGTGACGTCTTTTTGGTGTCATGTTCAGTGTTATATCCAATCGTCGGCACTGAGAGACCAGGCACAAGTGCATAAACGGAAGAATTGCGTATTGCTCAGCCATTAGTTGCAGCAGCTGGAATTGGCACTTGGTGATGAGCTGCTGAAAAGCTTCTTCTTTATTCACATTTACCTTGCATGCAAAAGGTGTGGAAACATCTTCTTCATCTGGATAAGAGCAAGCCGGCAGTTACGGTCTTCATGGCTGTACCCACTATGTACGTCAAGCTGATTGAGCATTACGAGCAGCACTTGAGACACCACAAAGAGACAGCGCCAAATGTGGTCCGGGACACATTCGCAAAAAATATTAGGTATGCACAAGAAATAATCAACATTCACTAGTGGCGATACCAGATCAACTTTTGCTGTTTAATTTATTTCAGGTTCGTCATTAGCGGTTCAGCTTCTCTCCCACAGCCCATATTTGAAAAATTTCATGACATTACCGGCATGACTATATTGGAAAGATATGGAATGACTGAAGTTGGTGTACCATTATCCAATCTCCTGCATGGCAAAAGACATCCCGGTAGTGTGATATTTTTCTTCATAGCTATGAACAGAGCATTGGAGGACTCTGCTATATATCTTTACACGGTTAATGTCCGTTAGTCCAACATGACCTAATTAACACTGTCTTCTAATTCACTAGCATTAAAAATGCCTAGAATTCCATGGATTTTAAATACTGCATTTAAGTTTGACATCACACTCTTATTTAGCAGGTCTTGGCCAAATAAAAAAAAACGAGCCAAATGTGTAAACATACCTATACTCAGCTGCAACTAAAGATTTGTTGTCTACAGCAACCCCCCCCCCCCTTTTTTTTTGTCATATACGCACATTGCACCTTTTTTTGTCATATACGCACATTGCAGTTAAGATATACATTATTTTATATTGTGAAAGTCCGTATGCAATGCTCCTCCCTTGTTCGCTTCTCATGATACACCTTGAATGTGAACGCAGTGGAAGAACTTAATGCAAGCTGAGAATTTCGGCTGTTTTTTCTACTGCTACATGCTTTGGTCTAAAATTGCTTCCTTACATAGAGTTTATTGCACTGCCAGGATAGTAAACCACTTGAATATGCCATTAGATGATGAAAAAATTATGTCAGCCATGGTCACAGCACTTAAATATATGCTGACAAAGTGCTATTGCTGCACTATTAAAAAAAAAATGCCCCCACCTCCCCGAAGAGAATCGTGACGAAACGTGAATCCATTTCTTGCTCTGACAGAGGGTACCGTTGCCGTCGGACATTCGCCTTCACCGACTTCTGCCATCGCCTCGAGAGGCGCCCAGCCAGCGAACGATCTAGAGTGAGCAGCGAGTGGACGGGAGAGTGGGGCGCCAGCGTTCTCAGCTTAGCGTTGGCGTTTCACAGCGGTGCCTCGACCACAAATTTCCAGATGTTCTTGAGAGGCTGGGCAGCCAGCAAATGATCAAGAGTGAGGCGCAAGCGTACAGGAGAGGGGAAGTAGAAAGCAAATGGCGAGAGAAGGAACGGCGAAGCATTGCACCTACACTCTCTCGCACCACATGCTCCTGTTGCTAAGTGTGCCAACAGCTGTTGTTTGTGAGAAGGAGGGAGAGCGGAGACATAACACCTGCCGGTGTGTGGAAAACGCCGGATGCCTGACATAGCCTGACTAAGAAATGCATTCGCATTTAAAAAATTAAGAGACCCTTAACCCTCACCTGTAAGGGTTGAATGCAATAACTATATTCATGTGCATACATACTCTTTCTCGCACGAACACTATCGCCTTCCACATTGCTAGCCTGCCTTCACTTCTCCGAGCCCTAAACTGTGCTGCAAGAAAAGCCAAAGTGCAAATGTCCTCCATCACCTTTCTTTATTTTCATCTAGTACCTCGAATTTTCGCTCACAACACCGACGCCAGAATATCTGCGAAACAAGCTCTTTAATGCTATATTCTGAAAAGGCATTTTTTGGGGCATGTATTTGTCACAGAACAATAATAATCTATTTCAGGTGCTTTACTTCGCATTACTGACAAACACACTGTACTTTCAGGTTATGAGTGGCTTGTGCAATATCATTGTGACATAATACTCTTGATAGCGAACCAGGGAGTGCTGAGTTCTTGATAAAGGAAATTCAAGTAAGCCAGATAACGGTTATGTTGTGTGACATGAAGATGCCCAAATATGCCCCTTTCTTCTTACAGTGTGTGTGTCGAAATTCTTATTGATCCTAGCAACCAGGATCCTTGCTAAATGTGAAAAACTACAAGCACAAGTTTATTTGCATGTCTACTTTTGCTGACACTGACATTGTACTCTTTAGAAGACCACAATTGACTCTTTCATGCCATAATATCCACATAATCAGTACGGCATGTTTGTGCAAGTGTCATTGTCCCATTTCTGCTATAGCGGAAGTGGCCATCTGCAAGTACCCAGCGATAATAACGGCATCACAAGCCTAATTGTGTCTTAAATAATCATAGTAGACTCTTGGTAAATGGAACCTAAAGGGACCAGACAGATATTTTCAACTTAACTGGAGTTCCATTTACTGAGAGATGAACAGAGGTGTAGAATTCAAGCATAAAATTAATCATATTAGGTGTTCCAATTCTATTTAATAAAATATTTTCATATGCTAAGAGTGCACTGTATTTTTATGCACATGTCATGAAGGAAGAGTGTCAGTTTCTATGTTTCTTGACTACTTCAACCTTGCTGAAATTTGAAAACATAATGTATATTAACATAGTTGCGTTCTGAACTGTCTTTATAGGATGTGTGGGATACCCTACAGCAGGTGTTGAAGTGTGCATTGCTGAAGCGGATGACTCTAAGATGGGATACAAGCCTGTGGTCTTGAGTGCAAATGCAGAGACAAAGTACCTCGAAGGGTCGGAAAACAACAGCGGCGAACTGCTTATTAGGGGCCCTAATGTGTTCAAATACTACTGGAACAGGCCAGAAGTAACCAAAGACTCATTTACCCAGGATGGCTGGTTTAAAACAGGTAGGTGGATGGTGGTTCCCACAGCACTGCTTTACATCTCTCTCCATTTATCTATGCTGCTGATAAACCCTTATTAAGAATTCTCATTGTAAAACATTGCATCACATCATCATCACACATCATCAGGGAGCATTGCACAATGCTATAGAAAGAAATAAAAAAAGCAGTACGTCAGGCTTTTCTTGTTTGGTCACTTTTGATTATTTCTGTTGCATATAATATTTGCCAATGTCTTAAATAAATACATCCCACTTCTTATTACCAGCACATTTACTTCACTGTGCGATATCCAGAGAAGTTCTTGAGGAATAAAAAAAATATTGATTCGGTGAACAATGAAAATGAAAAAGCAGCTGTTTTCATGAGGCTAACATCATTACTAAGAAGGATATGCCCTCTTTCTACTGTAGCCGTGTTCCTAGTGAAAGAAGGCACTGAGTTCGATTCTCAGTGCTCTCAGGCATGCTCCAGTTTTTCAAGGGTGAGAGAGGTACCCCAATCTGACATTTGGTGTTGTGGGTACTGTTACTCGAGAAGGCAGGCTCTCCTGTAAATTATTTTTTTTCTTTCACCAACATTTCCACTCCCCTGTGCTGCCTTGTGTGTTGCAAAAATAAATGTCTCTTATCCACAAACCACTAAATTTGGTTGACTTTTCACCAGGGTGGTATGAGACCTTTTTTTTTAACCCTTTCAGCCGCTTTGTACATAATTGTGTACATCACTTGTGTTTGCTTGTTGTGTCATAATATGGTGGTTTTGGGACGTTAAACCCCACATATCAATCAATATCAAATCATTGCTTGTTGTGTCGACAAGGGGCTAGAAAAATACAAGACACAATGAGGTTTAGATGAAATTAACTTCCTACCTAATAAACTTGTCTTCAATTAACTTCTAGTTTTTATCTTACTGTTGCATAACATCACTTTGCTGAAGGCACTACCATGGTCGGCGAGTTTTTCGAAATGGCACTTTTGTGGAAGCACGTCAAATTTTTAAATTTTTTTCTCGTAATCAACAAAACCAGAAACCGATTGGCGCTATATTTATAGCCTGAGATTTGATTCTATATATGCAACAACACAAAATTAATGTCTCCAGGATAAGTAGATATTTAATAAAAGCTTAATTTGGAGTAGCTGCTATAAAATGCATAAATCAATATATTATAAAATTATTGTTGCTGCAATGGAATATTGAGTGCCTTGAGGTCAAGCTGTGCCAATTTTATGCATTTACAGATGCATAGGTGGCATCTGAAACGGGTAAACATGCTGTGTAGGTTGTTGAAGTCAATATGAGGAAAGATGAGAGTTGGTGACTATTCATGTTGGACTTGCATCATTTGTGTGCACTGCACTTTCAACAATAATACACAAGCTGGCTTCTTTGTTCAAACAGTGGCTTTTGTGGTGTTCAAATAATGTGTGGTCATTTACTGTGCATACCTTTGGCATACATTATGAAATTTGGTTATCATGGTTGCCTGAGTCGTAATGTCTCTGGTGTGTTCTTTTTGTAGTACGATGTGAAAATTATAATTTATTGAGGGTATCACGGTAAGAAAATATGCAGGGTGTTTTTGGATGATACAGATTATAAAAAAAATTAAATGACAGTAAGGCACCTGTCGTTTTTGCACAATAACTCGATATCAAGGCGAAAATATTTTGCTACAGGTAAAATGACATCTTTGCATCTAATCAACAAGACATATTAAATTATATTTTTAATTATTGGTCTGTGATGGTCACTGCCTAAATCATCGAATGTGTTGTGCCATGTAGCCCCCGGGGCATTCTTGGTTATTGTAAGATCCGGTGTTGTGTCTCGCTGGGTGCTTGTACCTATGCATGTGTGTGCATGCAAGTCTGTTATCAGAGTAAGCTGTTCGTCTTGTATGCTCTGCCATAACTGTTTCCATTTGGGGGTGGTGAAACCATATCCCCATGCCTCGTGTGGGGCGTCGAAGTCCCCTGCTATGATGAGCGGGGCACTGCCAGCTAATATCACGACCTGCCTAAATAGAGAGTGAAATTGCTGTCTGTGATTTGACGGACCACGCGTAAAGTGAGACGTCTAGTTGACTGGGATAAATTTCGGGAGATCAGAAAAACGATTACCAAACACCCTGACGATATCCAGCAATTGTGCGAGAGCATAATAGACACCATCAGGAAAGCAACACAGGAAGTAAAAACAGATATCCCGGTGAAGCGCATTGATAACAGATTAATCCACCTGTGGCGAACTAAAGAAGCGTTACAAAACAAATGGCGGAGGCAAAGACACAACAGAACAATCTGGAAAAAGATAGCACAGCTCAACAAAGACATTGAAAGTCACTGCAAGCAGCTGTATGAGCAACAATGACCGAAGGTTAGTAAGGACATGGGCACCCATATTGGAACATCACAAATGTGGAAGTTGCTTAGGTTTCTTATAGATCCCACTAATACCAAAACAGAACATAGACACACTATCCATCGTCTCACACGCGAATACGAAGGAAACGAGGAACTTAGCTAGCTAATGACAGATCTATAAAACATCCGCATACCCAAATCGCCGCCACTACAACATAAAACCTGTACAGGCGAAGAAAACCCCAACATGGGCAAAAACTTTAAGGCAGCGGAGTCCACAAATTAAATGTAAAATCAGCTCCGGGACCCGATGGTGTCATGAACCGAGCGTTACGTAACCTGAACAATGAATCCATAGAATTTTTAACTGGATATATAAACAAATGTTGGACAGAAGGGACAATATGCGTCTCGTGTAAAGAGACTAGAACAATCCTTATAAATCCTTATACCAAAACCTGGAAAGCCTATCAACAAACTAAATCTCTGACCCATGTTATTAACGTCATGCATAGCAAAAGTAATGGAACACGCATTTCTAAATAGAGCCAACAACTATATTGAGGATGGTGAATACTACCCACACACGATGATAGGCTTCCATCGTCACCTAGCCACTCAAGATGCCATGCTACAGATTAAACACCATATCATAGGCTACCCCACAAGACCCACATGAGCCATACTCGTTCTGGATCCCAAGAAATAATTTGACAAAGCAGCTCATGAAACAATTCTCAGCCGTATATTGAGCTTAAACATGGCTGAGCGAGCCTATAATTAAGTCAGAAACTTTTTAAGCAACAGGAAAACTAAGCTCGGCTTAGGAGGCCTTACATCTGATCTCCAAGAATGGGGCTGCAGAGGCACTCCACAGGGCTCTGTAATATCGCCTATGCTCTTTAATCTAACGACTGAACTACCGAAACAGTTAAGTAAAATCCCGGGAATATAGCACTCTATATACGCGGATGACATCGCAATATGGGTCAGTGACCGCAGGGACGGCTACATAGAACAGAGACTCCAAGAAGCAATAGGAACAGTTGAGCAATACCTGGAAGGCACAGGACTCGCATGCTCCCCGAAGAAACGAGAACTTCTTCTCCACAGGCCAGCAATCAGAGGCAGAACACCTAAGTCAGAGGAAAACAAGTGGCAATATGAGGAAATAAGGATTCATACACAGGAGGGCACAATTATACCGACAGTTCCAAAAGTACGGGTACTGGGATTAGTCATCGCGGCTAACGGCGCCAACGTTGAGACTATACGCAGACTGCATGCCAAAGTCACAAATGCGATGAGACTGATTCGCAGGGTCACGAATAAACACCGAGGTATGGAAGAAGCCCACGTAATTCGTCTAATCCAGGCCTTCGTCATAAGTCACGTAACGTATGTAGCAGTATACCACAACTAGCAAAAAGCTGAAACTAACAAAATAAGTACACTCATCCGGAAGGTCTACAAACAAGCGATAGGAATATCTGAGTATGCTAGCACAGACCTACTTCTTCAGCTAGGACTACACAATACACGCTTGAAAAGAGTATAGAAGCTCATTGCATATCCTAGCTTCAAATGCTCCCTAAAACTAAAACTGGAAGAAATATAATGAGTAGATTTGGAATTGTGTACCATGCACAACATGGTGTCAAACATGACATCCCCAATACAATCAGAGCTAAGATCGTCTCTAACCCAATACCGAAAAACATGAATCCCATTATCAACACGGACCGCAGAAAACACTGAGCAAAAGCACTGCTCAAAGCACACGGCATGAACAGTAAGTCTCTTTTTGTAGATGTTAGCCCATACCCTGAACGAAGGCTCACACAGCTATCATGATCGACACGTCCAGGATTTGTATTTATGCGTGCTCTGTCATAAACAATATAGAGGAGGCTGAGGAGGTAGCCATAACCATGGCTATCACCTCCAACAAACACTCATTCATACTGAGCGATTCGCAAGTAGCCATCAGAAATTTTGCGCAAGGACGAATTTCACAGCAAGCCCTCAAAATCCTCGTTGATAACCAAGAACTACACAGAGTAGATGAACCCAAATACCTCGTATGGTTCCTGGCGCACACAGAGACTGATACATCCAATCTGAACGAGCTGGCTCTTGAATTGTTGCGAGAATCAACCCGCAGCGCAACCCCACCACATCGCTCGGTGATCATCCCTGGCGCCGCTGACGTACCACACACAGACCGATTTACAAGCTACACAGAATACATGCAACACTACAGAGAAGCAAGGCGCGTCTTTCCCGCACCTCACTCAAGTCTAAACAGGCAAGAAGCATCGGAATACCGACGGCTACTGACGAACTGCTACCCGAACTCTGTGCACCTCTACAGGAGCTACCCACACTTGTACGCGGACAATAAATGTAAGCTATGTGTAACAGAAAAGGCATTTTATAAACATATATTATGGGAATGCCCCAACTTATCAACAAGTTCTCCTCAGGTCCTCCAGGTGCAGTGGCAACTTGTGCTGCTCAGCTCGGAGGTTCAAGACCAAAAATGGGCTATCCAGCAGGCCAGGAAGGCTGTACGGAGACAAGGTCTCCCGGTACCTCCTTGTGCGGTCTAGCCCGGACCACAAACATGCCGTATACGGAAATAGAGTTTGTTTATCACCATCATTATCATCATTATTAGTCTTAGGACCGATGTTTATATTACAAAGCTGAAAACATGCTAATTTATGTCATACCAATTTTGTTCAGGAATTACAAAAGTTGCAAACAATTCTACATATTCATAATCAAATTTCACAGACAAAATCGAAACTGATTGCGCCAGGTGAGCATGAAGCACGACTTCTGCTGCATCAGACTGGAACTACCCATCACAAGGGAGTGGCGAAATTTGAATGAAGGCATCCCACGGCGGTATCTTTTCATAAAAGGCTGCAAGTGTTCTTACTTGTGCCTGTACATCACAATTTTGTGTGTACTGTTTGGTGCTTTTCCACTTATTTCAAACTGTGCACAAGAAAACCACAGTATGTTTTTTTTTTTGTGCGGGAAGCATGAAACTCAGGCACAGTTACTGCGGCACTTCTTAGAGACAGTTCAAAATAGTTCAAGAAAAGATAAACAGATGAGTACCACCCATCACATGCAAACATTAAGCTGACTACTTGGGTATTTCAGAATGCTTGCAGATGTTTGTGACCAGATTCTGCTTTCATTTGAATTTATTCATTTTTCTGTCATGTGTTGTTCTGGTGTTCCGCCGTGCTTTGTGCACATCGAGTGTCACAAGTTTCAATTTCACCCTTGAAATTTGATGAATATTTTAAATTACGCACAACTTTTGTGATTTCTGAAAAATAGGTATGCCATTTATTATCATGCACTACAACTTTCCTATAATAACAACTGCACTCAAGTCAGCAATTAAAAGGTTAATTAACCATTCAGTTATAATTAATTATTTTTGTTAGTAGCTTCAACATCGTTTCAACTGCGGGAAAGTAAGCCGGCCTTGACCTAGAGTTGATATGCAAAAACGACAGGAGCCCAATTGTCATAGAATTTTTAATGAAAGTTACCCTTTAATGAACATTTACAGGTGACAGTGCTGCATGCATTGATGGTGTCTACAAAATCCTGGGACGAACATCAGCTGATATCATCAAGTCTGGTGGTTACAAGGTCAGCGCACTAGACGTAGAGCGCCATTTGCTGGCGCATCCATCTATTAAAGAATGCACAGTAGTGGGAGCCCCTGATGCCACGTGGGGTGAGCGTGTTGCTGCAATAGTTGTCTTGCATGAGCCGTCAGCTGCACTAGAGCTTGAAGACCTCCGAAACTGGTGTAAAGAGCGCATGCCCACATACAACGTACCCAGTATTCTGCTGTGTCTGCCTGCTCTAGAACGTAATTTTCTAGGCAAAGTCAATAAGAAGGAACTGGTAAAAAAGTTGTGGCCTGCTCCACAGCAATAGCGTGCACGCTCATTAAATTGTTTTAGAAATTGAAAAATAAAGAATTGGAATATCTGAAATTGTGTACTGTTTTGAATTTAGCTGGAAGCTTGAATCGGGGGTGCCAGTCTTGACCAATAAACAAAACAGACACCTTTGTTTCCACCGAACAGCTACATCGGTAATGTCGAAGGCCCAGCAAAATAACGCTCCGACGGCTTGTTTATAAGTGGATAAAAGGCATGCTTACACTTGGCACTAGTTTTTAGCATTGCCGAAAACTGCCAATATTTCACCAATACCTTCACATGTGGTTGATTTGAGATTTTACGAACAACTCCAGCATCCCAGTTGTTCTCCAAAAGCTCTTGCAGTTAGAGACTATTTTAATTTGGGGACCTGTGCATTTTACAGAAAATATTGTAAATGATGCTTTAAATAATTGAGCGAAAATAATGGAACACATAATCTATTTCCAAGTCATTCAGTTCCTGTCTCCTCTTCTTTAATCAAAACCAACGTGGTTACCCACGAAGTGTTTCTTGCAATGCTGAGCCAGCTCTGTTTATTAACGATATTCACTCTGCTAACATTGATGCGAATATATACTGTTAGATGCACTTTTTCTAGACTTTGAGAGAGCCTTTGACCGAGTTTTTCATAAACACTCATCACTTGGATTTAGCGACTCTCGTGTCAAGACTTCAAGCTGACCTTAATTGTCTTGTTGACTGGTGCAACACTAATAGATTGTTGATTAATCCTTCCAAAACCTGTTTTATGCTTTTTTATTCACCAAACAAAAAACTAGCATTCATTCCTTACCTTTATGTGAACTCAGTAGTTATTCCTTTAAGTGATTCCTTTAAGTGATTCCTTTAAGTGATTCCTTTAAGTGATCATACGTCATTTTTAGGAGTTATAATGGACACACATCTGAAATTTCAGCAACATATCAATTCTGTTTGTAAAAAGATTTCGTACGGTATCGGGGCATTGGTCAAGTCACGAATGTGTTTAAACATCAAAACTCTGAAGGCATTGTATTATGCATTCATACACAGTCATCTCAGTTATTGCATTACATCATGGGGTAATTCATATTCGGTGCACATTTGGCCGTTAAAGGCATTGCAAAAACAAGCAATTCGACTCATAACTTTCGCTTCACGTCAAGTGCCATCACATGAGATTTTTCGCCAGCTTGACGTATTACCCATCTCCCAAATGTACGTTTATAATGTGTGTGTTTTGTTTTTCAAAATTTTCCACCGTACCCTCACTATCGACATATTTCCTATTACCTTGTTGGATAATTCCAATAATACTAGATTCGTGGTCGCCCATAACCTGTTATTACCTAAAGTTTACACTAATTATGGAAAAATGAGCATTGTTTTTTCATCAATTACATTATGGAATTCTTTATCACATGATGTGAAAGACTTAATGCACATTCATGTTTTTAAGAGAAAATTGAAAAAGTCTCTATTAAACGTATAACTGCTAGATTTTGTTAATTTTTGATATCTTGCTTTGTTTATAAAAAAAAAAGTTCGAAATGTTCCGTGACTTGCTCTTTCGTTATTCATATTTTAGCTTTTTCATTGTATTAACATAGGAGGTTCCGCCTGCGGTTTACTACCTTGGGACCTCCTCCTGCATACTTACTCACAGTGTACACTTCTGATGCTAATAAAGAAACATTGATTGATTGATTGATTGAAACATTTATTTTGATTGAAATCTCGCTCTCTTAACTTTTGTTTTGACTTGATTTGCTACTTTTTAAATTCCAGTAGTTTGTTCACGCTGACGTTCTTCCTTACACCTTGCTATTTCAGGTGTGCCTCAAAGCATGGTCATGTTCAGCATGTTATATGAATGACTTGCCAAATAACCTTTCCTCTAACTTCAGATTTTTTGCAGATTACATCATTTATTATCCAAAAGGTATCATATCAGACATTTATCCACTTTATTCTCCCCTTAATCATTTCGAAATGTAGAGTAACAAATTAGTTATAGTATCCTTAAATACTAACAAAGCATTGCTAGTCTCCTTTTATCACTGTTCGTACTATTCAGCACCAAGATGCCTAATTTACAACTGGGAACATCTGTAAGTGCATGTAAATATCTAGGTGCCCATTTGTCTCTTGATGTTACATGGTCTTTTCGCACAATGCATGTTACTAACAACGCTAATCATGCTCTTGGTTGTCTACTTTGAAACTTTCAGCTTGCCCCTACTTCCGTCAAACTCTTCACCTATCTGACACTAATTGGACCTAAGCTTGGATATGTATGCATTGTTTGGGACCGTCACCAATGAAATGCCATTAAAACTCCAGACACTGTGCAAAATAGTGTAGTAATGTTCATCCTTTCATATTTAAAGCATCAGTCAAGTGGAACTGAACTAAAGTCTTCTGCTAAAATCTTGCTGCAGTAGAGCTTGTCTCTTCAAAGTCTATCGCACATCGCCTCGTACTCCCACAATCAAGGCAACTTGTCATTCCACCTGATGCATACCTGCCAACTACTGGCGTCCAATTGTCGATGGATCCATTTAGCGGACTATCCACTTCAGCCTTCACTGATTAGCTGGAGCTCGATGAGCAGCGCACCTATTTTTGTGGTCTTTCTTCCGCAACTTCATTTTAACGTCACAATTTCACAACCCTCGACACAATTGAGAAAGAAAGAATGCGTTTCACTGCAATGAATGCTGCCTCCAGAAATCCGCTTTGAAATGCATATCTCAAAGGCCGTACATGAACTAACATTGGCCCGTGAATTAGGCTTAGCATGGCCACCCACCTGATGCACCTGGAAAGTCAATGTGCAGTCCCTGCATCGTTCTAAAAAGATCTGAATGTGTTCATATGCAAGTTTATGCTCGTCTTCATTCAAGTGTACTGTAAATTTTCTTCACTTTCTTTCTTTTTACACTGGGAATGTTCCGGCACATTCATTGCGTCGATGTGGTCAAGCATGCCAGAATGTCACAATTCGCCATTTTTTTTATTAATTCAACGTGCTACTCTGAAGTGGGTAGTCCACTGTGTGAACCGATCGAAAATTGCGATACCTGCGTACTGCTCACTGGATATCTACCAACTGCTCACAGCACTGTGCCTTTTATCTATTAGTCATGATAGCACAAGAGTAGAATGAGTAGAATCACCTTCCATCAAAGCACCAGTCAAGCATCTATACATGTAACTCTTAGGGTCCACCCTTCATGTAAAACCCCTTCACTGGAGCTTTTGAGATATTGTAAAATGAGCAGGTAAGTATAGGTTGGTTGGTTGGTTGTTTGGTTGGTCTGTGGTGTTAACACCCCAAAGTGACTCAGGCTACAAGAAATGCCATAGTGGACTACTTCAGATAATTTAGACCATCTGTGGTTATTTAACCTCCACTGATATCGTGCACCAATATCGCACACGATCAGTTTTAGCCGCAAAAACATGGAACTTTTTTGTTTTTGATAAAATTTTTTATGCACGTCTCTATAAAAGGTCTGTGTGAATAATTATGACACAGAAAACTAACAACTAGACTTCAGGTATATTAAAGTATATGTCCAAACCTTCTGAAATCTCCGAACCCTACCTCTTCACCAACACAATTAGAATTTGTTTTATGTCTCATGAAACATCTAAAGACATTTGAAGATATGTTGCAGAAGAAATTATGTTCTTACATTGTGTTAGTGAAAAGTCATGGCCAATTTAGCGTGTGGCGGCTGACATTTTCCATCAGGTTATGCATCTTAACTATAGGTACAAATGGGATATTCAATATAACATTCCGCTCTCATTCTTTGCACATCAAACTGCCAAATGATATAGATAATTGAAAATGCAAACATTTAATCTATATCATGCCTAATCTAAATTGTCTAAATATGCACAAGCTTTCCAACTGAGGTGTGCATTCTACCAATCATGACGAAATACTAGTTTTCTTGAAAGCTTGCTCATCTAACTATGCTAATACCGAATCATCTCAGATACCTGCATTTCACACACCTGCCTGTGTAATTTTTCTCAATGAAAAACAAAAATTGGCAGATCCCATGTACAGTGGGAATCGATGATATGCGAAGCACAAATGAGAAAGGTTGATATGTCACTTCAAATCACCACAAGGTTACGAGGCGCATGGATGTAGTACATCATAAACATAAGTGGAAATATTATGCGCCCTCAGGTATTTGGGTAAGATACAACGATGTTGTTTATGATAGAAATATTATGCGCCCTCAGGTATTTGGGTAAGATACAAGGATGTTGTTTATGGTCGTGTAACGACGGCATCACTAACGTTTGCAATACCCGCCCCAGTAGTGGTAGGCATGTAAATTATGCCGTACATGACTTCCATATCATGATTATCATGTTTGCGCCTAGCATTTGTGCTCGTCATCTATTCAGGTCACGTAATACCAAATTTCGTATATGTGAAGCTAGTGAAATGGCCGCGAGTGCGCTATGAGCATAGCATGTGGTCATGTTTTACATGACGCGAATATCATCATTATCATGTTTGAATGTGTCGCTAACCTTTGTCGTCCATTCAAATCACGTAATACCAAATTTGGTATATGATAAGCTAGCGAAATGGCCGCGAGCTCACCATGAGCATAGCATGTTATGTTCTACATGGCGTGTATGTCATGATTCAAGTTTGGACATGCCATTTACCTTCATCGTCGATTCACGTCACACCATACCAAATTTGGTATATGTGTAGCTAGCGGAACGGTTGCGAGTGTATCATGAGTATGGCATGTTGTCATGTTCTTACATGACACGCATATGTAATGATTATCATGTTTGCAGTAGTCGTATACCTTCGTCATCCATTCACGTCACGTAATACCAAATTTGGTATATGTATGGCATGTAGTCATGACTTACATGACATGCATGTCATGATTTCCATGTTAGGGTCTGCCACTTATGTTCGCCATGCAGTCATTACATACCGTACCAGTTTTGCAATATGTCATGTCAATGAAACCACCGCAAGAGCAGCAAGACCATGACATGTAAATCTAACATATATG